ATAGTTTTCGGCTGCATTTGCCGGATTAGCGCTGGCACTCTGCCTCCCAGATGGTTATATGTGTGTGAGTGGTGGTTTTCTCGCTTTCCGAGAAGTTTTAGAATCGGGAAAGAAAACATGATTCATCATGTTTGCAAAATTGCAAGCATCAGAAGATTTGGCGCTATCCGCGTGGTTCGATTTTTTCTCCCGGACCAGAAATTTGTGGCATCGCGAGTGGAAATTTTTAATTTCAGTTCATTTACGCGGTAATGAGAACGGCGCTGATCTATTGTTAAGGTTTTGCAATTGCTTTTGTGCACGGAGTGACTTGAAAAAGAAAAGCGAAGAAAAGTGATCGGTTGTTGTCGCTGGAGGAGGAATTGTTTAGGGAAGACTAGAAAAAAAATATACGTGCATCGTGAATGCGCTCCCGGGTGAAGTGATTTGGTGAGTACGTTCCAGTTGAAGATTGTTGACAAGTGTATTTGTGGTGATGCAAATTATGGTTTAGATGACGCATGGCTTCAAACATTTTTGTGTATCCAAATAAAGCATATTACATACTAAATACGCACAGGGCATCGTCTGCTGACCATTGCCGCGGGTATATCGTCCCAGGTACCCAGTTCAAGCTTTAGTTGGCGGCGGTGGCTCTTCTTGACCTTCTACCCCCTGAGTAGTTAGTGTGAATAAGGGCGTCTATGTGATGTTTTGCTGTACCTGTTGTGGACATCTAGTGCATCCTGTTCCCTTAACTTGTTGAGGACACCCTGTCTTGCCTCAAAAGTTACTCTTTTTGAAGTACTAGTTTTCACAACATAAAGGGCACCATTACGGAGCATGAGATTTGATCAAATTATTCGCAGTTCTACTTGTCACACACACACAGTTGTTATCATGAAAGAAAATGAAATGATGCAAGGTTAGTTCAAAACTTTCAATATTATCCGCATGGTAAGAAATAAAAACACTGCCAATCATATTTCATTTAATCAGCGTAAAGCTGTTATACCAAATCGATAAAGTATTTTGAAATTTGTTGAAAAAATTCGCATGGATCACAGGATTTGTTATCAAGATGTTTTAAATGATAACTAAATCAGTTATTTATGTGATATCCAAGGAGTATTATTTTGTTATGATATTTGTTATGTTGGCTGTTTATTCAACCACAATCATAACATGTGTGACTATGGCCCAGACACTCCCGGGTAACTATCTCAGTAGCATGAGACCCCTGAACTGTGTCGCAGGGCCGGCTACGCGGACAAAGTATGAAACCAGGAACATTTACATTTTCTAAAACATTTATTGGCCATTTTCTGTGGCGTGTGGGTGTGGGTTTTCACATATATGTGGCGTGTATGCTAGGGCTTAAAATTTGCACTGTACTCACTGCTGCAGCGGGATCTCCTACGGCGTCGCGACGCTGGCGTTGGCCCACACGGCTGCTCCAGCACTACCGTGTGGCCGGAAACTTGCGGCGCGGGCTGCAGACAGTGTTGCAGCTTTGGGAGAATGGCGGATCAGCAGGCGTTGCTGGCTCGTTTGGCTGGCAGGCGTCTTCCGCCGTTAAAGGCATCGGCTGACCGTGGTCCTTGGTCGAGCCGAGACGGGACCCCCCTTGGCAATTAAGGCCACCGGTCTGAGGGAACCGTCCCTGACGGACGATCGAGTATCATTTACTATTAGGCTCGGAAGCCATCTTGACTTCCGAGCCGAGCCGTGTAGGACCGTTTTATTTACGGTACGAGGTTTACAAAAGCACAACAGCACAAGAGGTCCTGAACGGAGATAGGCTTTCCAGTCCAAACCCCACAAGGGGGGGGGGGGGGTTGTATTATATATGCACTATACTTCACACTCAACTGGTCTACACGGACGCCTGGTTACTTCTGCCTAATCATCATCCAATTTGCGCATCCATTCACGGCGAATGAGAACGACCCAAATTTGAGTTTAGTTCACTCATAATCACCAAAAGTGCACGAACTCAGCGATGAGTAAATTTGCCTCATGTTTTCCCAGGTTTTTCCAGGATTTTCCAGCGAAAAATTCCCGAATTTGAGAAAAGTAAAGATTTGATTCACTCAGTCTATTGGTACTACTCCGAGACTGAAAATTTTTTTCGTCAATTTCCTCATTTTCCGGCAGATTTTTTAGGTTTTCCACAGGAAACCATGAGACAAATTTTACTCATCGCTGAGTTCCTGCACTTTTTGGCGATTATGAGTGAACTAAACTCAAATTTGGGTCGTTCTCATTCGCCGTGCTGTTATTTTAAAGCCAAGATTTTCCTCAATTCAGTAACGTTACATTGATGTTCTTTGCAGCGGCACAAGCCCTCTCGCTCTTGTGTGTGTCTACTGTTTTAAGTTTAACAAAACGTGAATTTTCCCAACCAACAATAACTCATACAGAAAAAAAATCCACGGATTGTAACCAACTGGTTACATATGTTCGGTTATCAAATCTTGATAACCGGATAATCTGGTATAATCCTTTACTCGGGTTACCATCAAATACTGTAATTGGTCGAAAGTACGTTGCATCATTATCGATTGCCTGATTGAGCATCGTCAAAGAGATGGATAAGGACATGGGCGAGGTTCATTATCAAGTATATCTACGGTTGGGATAAAAAAAAACGTAGGCACAAGTTAGATACGCGTCATTTGGTGACATGATTTACCATTTCAGCCGTGGCGAATAAAATTCAATATAGAAAAAAAATATGTATAGAATATGATCCAAACAAAATAATCCATTACTTAAATTAATAATAGTCCAACACATAACTTCAGAATTCACATTTGAAGCAAGTCTTCATAAGAAATACATTTACAAAATATTTTTAAAAATATATTTGCATCTGTATGTTTCCTCGTGTAAGCAAGAACGGGCTTTTAAATGATTTCCTCTATATACATAAACGAGGATGCTTTTAAATAATAATAAAAAAAAACCTTGTCCAGGAGGATTTCAGAGAATCTCTAAGAAGAACTCAAAGAGAATTCAGAGAATGATTTCAAAAATATCCAAAACTCAACAATTCCAAATAAATTCTGACAAGGGCACCAAAGTAATACCGACAAGAATTTCTTAAGAATTCTGACATTAATTTCAAAATAATTGTGATAAGAATTCGAAAGGCATCTGTACCTTTAAATATTAAGGGAATTTAATATTTTCGACAGTGTCGAAGAGAAGTTAGTTTTTGCAGTAGCCATGAGAGTATTGAGGAGAATTCAACAAAATGAAATAAAAAATATTTAACAGAATTATGGGAAAATTCGAACTTAGGCAAAATTGTAACGATATTTTATGGAAAATTCGAGGGGAATTTTGAAAAATTTAGACAGTATTCTGAAAATAATTCAGAGGATGAAAAAGAAAAAGTTCCAAATAGAGTTCTAATAGAACTCTGACATGAATTCCAAGGAAATCTTAATTTGATAAAAAATGCCGTACATTCCACAGACTGATAGCATTCTACGGGCCACACAAACTCACTCAGCCGGCCGCATGTGGCGCGCGGTCCATTGGATGAGCACCACTGTTCTAGGCGTTAGGAACAAGATCTAAATAGAAACCTTAAAAAGTTGGTATTTTGTACACCGAGCAATTTTGTTGAAGACCGGAGAGCTGTAGAAAATATGCCCTAATATTCTTCTATAGTCTAATTTTTAATTTCATTTTATTTTCTCAAATACAAAACTAACCAAGATTAATTTCTTGAAACATATTATTGAGAACGATATGATTGATGTATCTGAGCCGGGGACCCCCTTCAAATTGGGGGCCCTGGTTTTAGCCCATCGTCACCCGACCGTTAATACGGCACTGGTTACAACGTTTTGCACTTCAGTACACCTACACTACTCAACAACTACTCACCAAAAAGTTTTTAGCTACTGAAATCATATACACTTGATCAATTCTTGCAGGTAATTTCACGCACTTTTTTAATCTAATCAGGGGATACTTTTCATTATTTTCAGTTACAGTACAAAAACTGTCCAAAACAACAGGCGAATTCGTTGCAAGGACACTTAGAATGTGTCATAAGAAGCATTTAATTGTATTCCCTTCATAAAATATATTCCCTTTGCGATTGAAGAAATTTTGCGAGAAGGCAATGTTTTGTTCAAAAAATTGGTAAAAGCCTAAGGAAAAGCTGAGGAAATTTTTTATTAGAATTAGTGGGAAGTTTCTAGATAATTCTAAGCTTAGAATTTGATTTGTTTGAAATTATTATCTTGGATATTTTGCTACAGAATTTCCTTTAAAATCTCTTCAGAATTTCGTTGAAATTTTCCATATCATGAATTTCTACTCAAAGCTAACATGAAATTCTTCATATAAATACAGAACAAATTTAAAAAAATATATATAACTCGGTCACGCATTACCCCCATCAGGTTGGGAAAATTCGTCCCGGATGAGCTTGCAGTTTTGATTAATTGACGTTTGAAGTCATTATTTACAAAAGCTGTTGTACGACATTCTGATTATTAGCTAGAGAATTACTGTAGTTAAACGAATCAAAACATGAACCGAGTCTAAAGTTCTGTTCGGACCCTGTTGAATCCTATTGCTATTGTATACACAGACCAATTGATTAATTCTGGAAGCTGGCGAAACTACTTTCTCAATGCACCTTCACTCACCCAGTCTAATTAATTCCAGCACAATTCACCTCGCCATTTCACAACGCACTCGTTTTCACCTGGCTCGAGCAGTGATTAACTTGTTACTTCTATAGAATCAATTGAAAAGGAAAGGAGAATAATCACCGACCCATGCCGAGCTGTTGTGATGCAATACTTGAAGCGCGCTTAGCTCCCTTCAATCGAGCTCAGCTCAACCAAGCGAGCAACCCCATTACCAGTAATTAATCAGTCTTCTCGTTTTGAGCCGTTTAAAGCTATTTTTATATCGATTACCGTACCTACCAATTAACTGTGAACGTCTGTTTGAATGGCTTTCTCTATCTCTCTCTCTCTCTCTGATTCCAGGTGACATTGACGATTGCATCGTGACACCGATAGTGCAAACACAGTTCACGCCGCTCACCGAGGCGCTCTGCGACGTCATCATGGAGCTGACGACGCAGGGCCAGTCGGCCACGATCGAGAACATCCGATCCCGGCTACGGACAAGGTATGTCTAACGTCCTCCAAGGTTTATGTGATCTTTGATTTTTATGGATATGGTTTCGGGTTTCTCGCTTTGAAATCTCCCACAGATTCACGCACATGCAGCAGCCTTCGGTGGAGGTGATTTACGATACGCTTGTGCAGCTGATGCAAGAGATCAAAATCTATCAAACATCCAAGGGGTATTTCATCGTCACGCCCGAGTAAGAATTCGACTTGAAATAATTCGAAATGAATATTTATCGGAACTGATCACTAACCTTCGATTTTGTTTTAGGAAACGACGTAGTAAATCGAAACAGAATGATTACAGCTTCGCAAGCGACGAAACGACCCCACCGCAGAAGGAGTCCAAGACCATGCTGATGAGTAGTCACGAGGCGCTGCGTAGTTTGTACGGTGAGATCTCGACCGAGCGGGCTGGCGACCAGACCCATCAGTGCATCCAAACAAACCTGGCGGATGTGATTTGCGGAGGCAATCCGAACGATAAGATCATGTACGCACGGTCCAACACCAACAGCAAGCAGCGCAGTGCCTCCCTGGCCGGTAGCAACAAGACCCTGGAACGGCGACACAGTCTGCGGATCTTTGGCTCTTCGAAGCGACTTCAGCGATCCGCTTCCACGAGAAGTCTATCCAAGAACTACGCACAAACGATCGCCAAGGACAGTACACCGTCGCCATCGCCGGTGGCGACAAGTTCCAGCTCGGAGAATCAATCCAATTGTGATACGAGTAAGTGTGGAGCTGCACCGGGACGGTTGAGTTGAGCCTTTAATCTGATTGAATCTATCTTTTAGAAAAACAAACGTCTTCCCAATCGCTGCTATCGAGGATCTTCAGGCGCAGCACTCGATCGAAGAGCAAATCGAAACCGATCGAGACCTACTCGGCGCAGTTTCCACCGCCGGAGTGGTTCAACTCAAAAACGACACACCTGCACAGTGTCGGCACGCAGACCATGGACTACGTGGTGAGTATTGTTTTACGAAGACAGCGTATCAAAAAGACTGGCAACTTTGGCAGAATTCAAATAGAGCAAATGAAGGCTTCGGTAATTCTTTCATCTAGCCTGGCTCTGCGGTCTGTGTAAATGAAGTTCCTGCGTGTACATTCTTTGCATTTTGTATATCTTCATGCAAAAAGTGAGCACTCTAGAACATGATTTACCCCCTGACGGTTCTAGGTAGAGGTATTGCCGAAGCCGTCATTTACCCTACAGTATATGTGTGCTTTTACAAAGGTAGAATCATTGCCTCTGCTAACACCAAGGTTGCAAATATTCATTTCGAATAAAAACATGTTTTTCGGAATAATGAAATCAAAACGTGTTGACATGTTTAACTTGAAAGTTACAAGAAGAGGTTGCAAAGTATGTATTTGACACATACAACCTGTGAATTTTCCATTCTAGCAGGTACAATCAGCGATTTTATGATCTGCGACCATCAGGAAGTGAAGTTGACAGGTTTTATATGTCAATCACATACTTTGCAACTTATTTTTCTTCTTTTTCTTCTTCTTCACATTTCAAGCTTATTGCTTATCGCATAATAGCTTATGACTTGACACTTCCACAGTTGTTAATTGAGAGCTTTCGATGTATGTACCGTTTTTGCATAAGTATAATTGTGTGGTAAGTACAATCATGCTCTATGCCCAAGGCATCTGAAATGAATATTTGCAACCTTCCTTAACACAATACGATAAAGAATATTTTAGAACCTACAAATGCTACTTGGGCATGTCCAGTGACCAGAGAAACCTCGAGAGCTCAACTCTAATGGGTTTTGATGTCCAATGAGAAGATTCCACGAGACTTTGATTGGATAATTTTGAGGAAAGACTAAAAATATATAGCCGTCACATGAAAAGCTCTTGGAGTTAACATCAGAAGATTTCGAAGACGAGTTCAGACACTAAACACTTGATGACCATTCGGGTCAAGTTCAGTACTTCACTTCGTTTGAAAGTCGAGAGCATGTGTGGTGATCTAGAAAACAAATCCCAAGAGACAGGTATTGATAGATTCTGGTGCAAGTCTATTCAACTGTATGGACTAGTCCTATAAATCTTGACAGTTGTGCAATAGAACAGGATTGAGTTCAAGAGGAATATAGGGCTAGTTCAAAGCCCTGCAGAAACCCATATTCTGCCTAGGAGGTGTCTAGACCCATGAACTTTTGTTGGAATAGTTTGGCAACAGTTTCAGGAGGTATCAACATCATATGCAGACCTCTAGTACCTGTTAAAAGATCCTTCTAGACACGCGCAAAGGTCATCAGAGGCAAGTATAGATGGCTTACAGGACAAGTCCGAAGTGTGCAATTCTGCCTTAAACATATCGACCAACTGCTGACCTAAAGGGGTATTCAACTCTGCACTCCTTAATTCGTGCCGAGTGAATGAGCTGTGTCGAAAGCTGTGCCAAGCGCTATGTTCGAACGTGCCTATCTAGGTCAATCAAAGTGTGGCTAACATGGTGTCAATATTCTATGGATTTGGCAACCCTGAAAGCTATGACTTTTGTGATTGTGTTTAAATTCTCAATTTCCCTGATGGATCATGGCAAGCATTCAGATGCATTCTCATTAAAGCGTTAGCGGGTCGGTCGGTGGAAGAGGAACTGGAAGCCATCAAACCTATACGGTGTTCAAGCAGATTCAACCCGTCGACAAAATTCTGGCTCGATATCCCGTGGAACTGTTGATTTCATAAAGGTTTATAGAAACAAAGAAGAAACCCGATCGATGATGAATGAAAATCCAACATATTAGATCCTCCCCGTAAACACTCTGAATGAATGCTCACGAGTCATACATTCGCTGATAAGGCATTTTACGAGACGTTTTGAGTCAGCTGTTTTTTTTCTGTTTACCTATTTTGACGTTTACCAGCGGGTCGATTTGTTGACATACCACGACCAAAATCAAAACAAAAACATCAGACGTAAACAATAGCAATGCCTCGAGCGCGTTCGAGTGGCCCGCCAGGAACTGTCATCAAGACGTCACGTAAAATAGCTTATTGTAACGCACTGGATTGACAGCTTTGTACACAGCAATTTTAATGTTACATCCAAAATGATACACTTTAATCAACAATCAATACGAAACTAACGATTTTAAATTGGCTCACTACTTGACTAGCCTATTGGTTCCAAGCAAACGATTAACGTACCCCATTCTAATCGAAATTCTAGTACTACGCAATGTTTGTTTTGATTCGCTATGAAAGTTTGACAGATAAAATGAGGGGCTAGTGGAATTTCCTATGTTTTGAGGGGTGCATCGATTAGCTTGGGACCGAAGATAGTACCAGAGCTGAGCCAAAAAGTTGAGCACGTTTCTTCGGGACCTACTAGTCTTAGAGTTACCTCTATGCTTCAATCGTGTCGAGAATCTCATGTAATTTTTATGCCCACAAAAATAAACAAATGCAGTAAAAGCAGCGTAATGTCAGTTCATGCACTGTATTAATGATAATGTTGTCCTTTTTGGCAATTACACCATATATGCATCCACTTTGATGTGATATCAAAATAATTTTTTTGCTGTGTAGTGTCAAATACATACTTTCCAACCTCTGCTTGTATCTGGCAAGTACAAAATATCATTATAGCATCCAGGGATTCCATAATTTGGAAAAACATTTTTAATAACGAAGTGAGTGGAAGTAATCCTGATATTATCCAGGGCGGTGGCTGCTACTACTGCTGCTGCTACACCAACCATTCCGTCCAACACAGAATATTGCACGATAGTCTTGGCAAAATCCACCCGCAAGGTCTGTATCTCGGAACGGAAATGTTGTACCTAAAGAGGCTGAATTTATAAAGAGACGGCATCTTATCCATTTGACAGGTCTTCTGCTTGATTGGAATGACTTTTCTTACAACTTTGACAAACAATCGATTGTTCCAATGTTGAAATGTCGCCTGTTTATAAATTTAGGGTCTTTAGTTGTACCTACTCCCGGGTCATCTCAGGTTGCGAAAAACAAAACAAAAACAAGAGCTGTCAAAATACCGGGTTGCCAATAAAAGCATTATTCATACAAACAAAAGTTATGGCAATTACTTCTCTGCACGGCCGGCACAGCTACGGCACACTGAGAAAAAGTTTGCGCAAAGTAAATGTGTAGAGTTACCACCCAGAACAAACCCTGTATCCAGCATTTTACGATCACTTATGGCCGCCACAATCTGGTTGAGTTTCTGGTAGGGAACATAAGATTTGAAGTTTGGCTTGTGTCGTTTGACGTGTAAACGATCAAATTTGAACGTTTACCAGTCAAACGACACAACCCAAACGTCAAATCATATGTTCCCTACCAAAAACTCAACCAGATTGTGGCGGCCATAAGTGCTCGTTAAATGCTGGATACAGATTGTCTAAATCCAGAAGATTTTCATAGTAAGAAATGAACCATCTTATGATGGAAAGTCTCTATCGTAAATCTTCAGGTTAAACACAGACCTTCTTGGTGATGAAATAGCCTAGAAGTGGCTAAAAATGACCCTAAAAAAGAATTAAAAATAGAAAAAACAGACCTTATGGCTCATTGAAGAGCAATATCAACTGCAAACATTCGATTCAAAATGAAACTAATTAATGACAAGTAAGAAGGCCGAAAAGGTCACTAGGACAAATAAGTAATCAAACCGACACCGGAAATTGACATAGAACTTCACTGGTTTTTTTCGAATGTTCTCATAAATTTTCTTTAAACTAATTTCCTTTCCCAGAGTTTTTTTTTAGTGTTCCTCAAATATAAATTTGAGAATCTCTTTAGGATTCCGTATATAATTTTCCATATAATAGTCCAAACATTTTTTTGAGAACCCTTCGACAAAATCATGAACTAAAAATGACTTGGAATTTTGATGATTATTCCAAGAATTAATTGAAGCTTCCTTTCGTAATTCTATTTAAAATTCGCTCGAATTCTTCATAGCATTAACAAGAAGTTCACCTCATAAAAATCCAAAAAAATGCCCAAAATAATCTATTTTCTTCTCGAAACACCCTTGAAATTATTCTCAGAATTCGCTTAAAAATATTTTCAGAATTTATATGACATTGTACGTTCGAAATTTCTTCTCAGAATTCCCATGGAACTCTCTTCAGAATTCACTTTAAATTATCTTTAGAACTACCTTGGGATTTTCCCTAATTTTTGAACTTTTCTCATAATTCAATATCCTTGGAATTTCCTTGCAATTATCAACTCAACGGAACTGTGTAGAAATTCTTCTCTAACTTATTTAAAATATTCATTAAAAATAGACCAAGAATTCTTTTCACAATCTTCATGGAATTTTCCTCAGAACAACAACAACAAAAAATCCTACAAAACCATGATAATAGTTGAGAACAAAATTTGTCAAGGTTGATAACTAAATTAGTACCGCGATACCAACTGAAATCATAGTGATATCTAGAATAACAAGTCTTGTTATCTAGATGATAGCAGGAAGTTATTTTACTTTGCTCGGATTTTGTGTTTGGATCCTTTGTCTGGAACTACAAAGTGCTATTTTTTTTTTCAAATATCTAGTTCAGTTCCCAAACATATCCCTCTATCATTAAGTAAAACATGAAGAGCTCAAGAACCGTAGATCACTAACAGTATTCTTCCCACCCACAGGACATCCCGGTCAAGTCCCGCCTCGTGAACTCCACATTCTACGATAGCTCCGACGTCAGCCAGCGATCGTTGTCCCTCCCCAGGCGACGCCATCACCGGAGGAACCTATCCAGCGAGTCTACCTTCTTCATATCGTCCCGCGACTGTTCACCGGTCCGTCGAGGCAAGTCACCTTCCTACTACTGCGGTAGTCTACCGCGATCGATCCACTCGACACCGGCCAGTTCCGGGTACTACAAGGTGTCCCGCAGCAAGCAACTCTCGTCGGCGGACAAACTGCACAGCAACAGCCAGAACAAGATCGAACACAAAACTAGTCGCGTCGGTAGTGGTCCATCCAGTATCGACAGTGGTAAAATGACCTACATAACCTCCGGACCATCCAGCTTCGATAGCGAGAAGCTGTCGTCCACTCGGACCAGTACCCACTCGAGCTTGGAATCGCACGTCTCGGCCGCAACGGTTACCACTACTATACAGCAAACGACTACGTCTAGCTACTTCATAGCGAACGATACGAAGCCTTCGTACGTCAACTCAAGCGAATCGAAGGATCAACCGCCCTCGGCGGTCACCACCACTACGGCCAGCGCATCGAAATCAAACAACAGCAACCACTACAAGGGGTTTGAAACCACCTTTGGGTACAACAACCAAGCCATCAACACTAGCACAAACCACCATAGCAATAGTAGCAGCACCCACAATAGCAATCTAGTTAAGAATTCACTGAATGCACTTTGTAATGAAGCCATTACGAATAACGGCATTTTAGCAGGTACCAATACAAGCAACATTTTAAAACTAGATACCGACGTCCCGAACGGACCCAGCGACCATCAACTGTCAAGTCTCAACGAAACCCTTCTAAGTTTCAAACTCCACTCGGAAGGTCCACCCGACCTACACGAACTGAACAGGTACAACAAGAACATCAACAAACAGGAAAACGCTCCCATGAACAATAGTAAAACGTTGCCATCGACGCCTCCAGTACAACCGGCTAATTTTTTCTACAAAAACGTCCTCAAAAACATCCAGCACGACGCTAAGAACATCTGCGGAGACCTTGCCACAGACAAAGACCTCACTGGCTCACTCCTGGCCGCCAGCGAGCACCAATCGAACCTGCGGCGATCGAACTCCGAAATCAAAAAGCTCAACTCGAACCTTGACCTCAAAAACCAACCCTCCTCGCCGGAGAAGATCAGCGGACTGATCATGATGAAGAAGAGCCTGTCCGTTTCCAGCGAACCGAATCTCACCAATCAGGTGCAGGAAACAACCACCAACAAAATCACCATCCTGGTCAAGGATTCCGACAAACCGAACAACTCCGACCGGAGGTTCTCCTTCCAGAGCAAGGACGACCCAATGATCGAGGAAATGTACGACTTCCCTAGTCTAACCGATTTGAGCTTTAACTTCACTTCGCTGGCCGCGCAAAAGATCCTCCAGGGCGACGCCAGCCTCAACAGTATCGATACGCTAGTCGAACTGAACATCAACCAGGAGAAGCAACAAACCATCATGAAGCTGAAGCACGACGCCCGCATGATGGCCCAGGAAGCGCAAGACTCCGCTAAGGTCGTGACTGACTTCGGCATGGTGTGATGGGGACGGAAAGAAGGGCAGATTAAAATGAACGAAAACGAAAAAATCAAACGAATGTACATTAAAACCCAAGTATAAGTGCCAATACATTAAAAAAACAAAAGGAATATATCTATGTAACTATAGGCTATCAGCTAAGTATTATATGGTATTATTGTAGTTAAATGCTGTTAATTATTTGTATTATATAATGGAATCGAAACGAAACGACCGGATTACCGAACCGTACTTACGTGCAGGAACTTTTGGACGATTTTAACAGTTTTAAAAGATAAAACAATGTATACTTTACTGTGGTAATATCTTCATAACAAAAGTACTGAACACAACAACCAGCACCCATTTACAAAAAAAATCGTACTATCAGACTACCCACACACACACACACATAGTTATGTACAGCAACAAATACATGGTATTATATGCAATAAAGACCGAATTAAACGCTAAAACAAGCTTTCTTTTTCCGTAGTTTAAATCACATGTAGGATAGAGCACTACCAACAATCAATACGAAACTAACGATTTTAAATTGGCTCACTACTTGACTAGCCTATTGGTCCCAAGCAAATCGACTAACGTACCCCATTCTAGTCGAAATTCTACTACTACACAATGTTTGTTTTGATTCGCTATGAAAGTTTGACAGATAAAATGAGGGGCTAGTGGATTTTCCTATCTTTCGAGGGGTGAATCGATTAGCTTGGGACCGAAGAGAGTACCAGAGCTGAGCCAAAAAGTTGAGCACGTTGTTTCGGGACCTTCTAGTCTTAGAGTTACCTCTATGGCACTACCAACAATCAATACGAAACTAACGATTTTAAATTGGCTCACCACTTTAGTAGCCTATTGGTCCCAAGCAAACGATTAACGTACCCTATTCTAGTTGAAATTCTATTACTATGTTTGTTTTGATTCGCTATGAAAGTTTGACAGATAACATCAGGGGTGTGTGGATTCATGCAGAACATGCAGGGGTGAGTGAAATAGCTTGGGACTGCTTGGGACCGTTGTTCTGGTACTGAGTGAGCCAAAAATAATAATGATTTTCTTCGGGACCCAGTGGTCTTAGAGTTACCTCTATGATAGAACCAAAACATTCTAGTACATTTGGTGAAAATGCTAGCTCAATCTAGTAGTAGTGTTGCCATGTGGTACAATCCAGTAGTAGTGGTTTTGCCATGTGGTACACTGAAAAATTGCAATAGCAGGTTAGTCACCAAAGTTTTCGAGCCGCTGTCTGTCACTTCGTTTGTGCTAGAAGGTTCCAAAGAAACGTGCTCAACTTTTTGGCTCATCTCTGGTACTCTCTTCGGTCCCAAGCTAATCGATTCACCCCTCGAAACATACACACTAAGATTTTTTTGCCAAGATGGGCACCACCGAGCAGCTCGGCATTTTATTTTGCTGGAAATTCAGCAAAAAATATGTTTGTTAGCTGAGATCTCGGCAAAATTCCCGTTTGTTAGCTGAATCTCGGCAAGTTTTTTACTGAGATCCAGCAAAATTAAATGCCGAGCTGCTCGGTGGTGCCCATCTCGGCGAAAAAATCTAAGTGTGTAGAAAATTCCACTAACCCCTCATATTATCTGTCAAACTTTCATAGCGAATCAAAACAAACATTGTGTAGTAGTAGAATTTCGACTAGAATGGGGCACGTTAATCGTTTGCTTGGGACCAAATATTCTGATAGCTTGATAGAATAATATGAATTTATTGCACAATATGTATTATTAAATGTCGTCAGTTGCATTTCCGACATTTTTAGTTATTCTAAATTCACTGCCTACCTTTCTAATCCCAAGCAGCACCAGCAGTAGAGACAATTGCCAAGGCAGAGGAGCTTGAAACTCCAAACGTGAACCATTTATCTAGTTTGCCGTTGAACTTGGGAAGCGTGATCTGTGGTAGTCGTACATGGGGTGTAGAACCAGAGGAAGCATTGAAGGTAGAAGTGGATGTGGACGGATTGTTTTGAGTAAGCTGACTTTTCGCTAGCAGGAAGGATTTCAGTGTGAAGAATCGTTTCTTCGTGTGTGACGATGTCGTCGATGGTTTCGTTCACCAGATCCCAAAGGCAATCAAGCTTATTTAGTCGCACGGTAACTTCCAACGGTTTCGTCTGGAGCGTGTATTTTTCTATGAAGGTGTACAAGTTGATGAACGTCGTCTGCAGTCTACGAATTCGTGTCTGCAGCATCCGCAGTGAAATCGATTTCCTTTTTGACATGCTGTATCCTCAAAAAATAAGACCAACTAGCGAAGCTTGACAGGATTAACGTGCTTGGAGAGCTAATTACCTGCAACATAAGAACCCATTGGGATGTTGCCACAGCAGCAGATGAACCTTAACCGATGTAGGAATTACTCTAGACGAATCGGAATTGGGATCCAGTCGGTAAGTTTTCCTACCTCCAAATTGATGTTGATATCTCGGTTGAAAGTATAGTGAGCAACCGATGTAGTAGCAGCAACAATCAATAAGAAACTAACGATTTTAAATTGGCTCACCACTTTAGTAGCCTATTGGTCCCAAGCAAACGATTAACGTACCCTATTCTAGTTGAAATTCTATTACTACACTATGTTTGTTTTGATTCGCTATGAAAGTTTGACAGATAACATCAGGGGTGTGTGGATTCATGCAGAACATGCAGGGGTGAGTGAAATAGCTTGGGGCTGCTTGGGACCGTTGTTCTGGTACTGAGTGAGCCAAAAATAATAATGATTTTCTTCGGGACCCAGTGGTCTTAGAGTTACCTCTATGGTAGCAGCGTGGATGTAGGATCAGCTTCGAGATACGATAGCTACGATTCGCTAATCCAATAGAAAAACCGCAAGCAGTACTAGAAGGAGAGCAGTTGATTTGAAATTTACTCAACGGTTTAAGGCAAGTAATAAGCCTTGGCGTTTCCTCAGGTAACAATAGATGTTGGTTTTTGATACCGCGTTAGTAAACCGAATACCGTAGGTGTCCTACCGGATAAGTTGTCCTCCAACTATTCGCCTTGAAGGACCACTTGTCCGATGGCTGTACTGGTTCCCTTCAGATTACCATCCAAAAATCGCCAAACGCAGTAAAATCATAGAGGTAACTCTAAGACTAGAAGGTCCCGAAATAACGTGCTCAACTTTTTGGCTCAGCTCTGGTACTCTCTTCGGTCCCAAGCTAATCGATTCACCCCTCGAAACATAGGAAAAACCAATAACCCCTCATTTTATCTGTCAAACTTTCATAGCGAATCAAAACAAACATTGCGTAGTACCAGAATTTCGACTAGAATGGGATACGTTAATAGCATAGAGGTAACTCTAAGACCACTGGGTCCCGAAGAAAATCATTATTATTTTTGGCTCACTCAGTACCAGAACAACGGTCCCAAGCAGTCCCAAGCTATTTCACTCACCACTGCATGTTCTGCATGAATCCACACACCCCTGATGTTATCTGTCAAACTTTCATAGCGAATCAAAACAAACATAGTGTAGTAATAGAATTTCAACTAGAATAGGGTACGTTAATCGTTTGCTTGGGACCAATAGGCTACTAAAGTGGTGAGTCAATTTAAAATCGTTAGTTTCGTATTGATTGTTGTTAATAGTTTGCTTGGGACCAATAGGTTAGTCAAGTAGTGAGCCAATTTAAAATCGTTAGTTTCGTATTGATTGTTGGTAAAATCCGTGGGGTTGGTTGAGGGCGATGGTTAGCAGCCAACTTTGCATGTGGGGAAATTTGTCACCGGATTCTTCGTATTACAATACCCAACTAACATTTTCAGCTTTGTAAGCCAACTTTTCCAGCGTTGTGCTGTAAAGTAGCTGAAAAGAAGCTGCAGATACAGCTACAAGCAAAAGCTAGTAAAATAGTTTTGGAGAGCGTTTACTCATCTTTCTCACAACCATTATTCAATTTGTCAGTCACACTGAATAACATAAGCCAATAAAAGCTAATGTCACTTCTATACACACACTTATCAAGTTTCAACTTGTAGCTGCAACACAAAGCTAACAAAGTGAATATATTACTCATTTGATGGCTTCTAAACAACCAACCACTCTTGCTGAATAACATAAACATCAAAAGTGCTTTTTCAACAACTAAACAACCTGTACTCAGCTTATAAACTGTGTTAGAGCAACTTCGGAAGCATTTCCACAGTCAACTAGGTTTATTTTTATACGTGTGCAGTTTTACAGCTTTTACTCTGCTCTTTTATAACTAGTTGAGAAAAGTGATTCGTGTGCACTATTATAAAGCCTCTACTCAGCAATTTTGTTGTAGAAGGGAATGTTGATTTGTTTACATAAGTTCAAAGTGTTGGCGTAGCACAGTTGGTAGTGTCAAGGTTTGCCAATGAGGTCGTCTCGAGTTCGATTCCAGGTTCCAGTGCAGGGTAAATAATTTGGTGATGATTTGTGTATAATTTCGATTAATTTGATTCACAGCAAAATAAACTAAATAAATTCCTTCAAAAAAAGCGTAAACAGTATTTAACCCGGCTTCAAGAGAAAGCTGTGTAGTGATTATTGGATAACCGGGAAAAGGTTGAATAAGCGCCTTTCAAGTTCACACACAACTAAACAACAGGATAACAGCTGTATAGAAGCGTTAATGGATATGCAATAAGAGCTTCTCCCGACCGTTCCAACAGCCATAAGTAGCTGACTAAGTTCGCCAGATTTGCTTGTATAGAGGTTGAGTAAAGGTTTCCTCATATCGCATAACGTTTGAATACAGCTTGAGGCTGTATAAATGAAATGAGTAAAGCGTTTACATTGTGAAAATTGTTAGTTGGGTAATACTAGTGTATGGATTGAACACTTAACACTTAGGCTGCGGGGTTGGTTGGAAATGCTAACATGAAGCTTTAGTGTGATAATTTATTAGCTAGAGAATGATTTTTTTAGAAGAGTGTTGGTGGATAGTTCCGTTAGAGTACGGCAGTATGAAAATTGAATAGAAGTTGAAAATGAGCGAAGGGCCATTAATGCGACAGTTTTTGAAGTTAGACGCACATCTTTTGCCTAACCCGTACGATGTACGCGGAGACTTGAAGTATGTCTTAGGCTGTTTATTTTACTAAACGAACTAACAAGTACTATAAATATAATTTTATATCAAACGCACTCGACGAGACTGCTGCCCAGATGTGTGTTGCAAAACGCCAAAAACTATTGTCTAAACATTTAATTATTCGCAGGTGAATTACTGCTGCTGTTGGTAACCATCAATTAGTAACCGCACTTCAAGGCCACTTATCTGCAACTCCGGCGTCTTCAATCAAATTCTGAACCCACACAGTCTTTTGGCTCGTCTTGCTCAACGCCACGTACTCCATGGACAATAATGTCACGAAATTCTACAGATGGCTTGTTCAGGTAATTGCTCCTTCACGTACATGATTACGATGCCGGTTGTAGACCTACGGGTTTTCAAGTCACCCGCCTAATCAGC